TCTAATGCCAGTTTTTAAAGAGAAAGCTTCTAGTTTTTGCTGGTTCAGTATATTGGCTGTGGGTGTGTCGTAAACAGCTTTTATTATTTTGAGATACATTCCATCAATACCTGGTTCATTGAGGGTTTTTAGCATAAAGTGCTGTTGAATTTTGTCAAAGGCCTTCTCTGCATCTATAGAGATAATCATCTGGTTTTTGTCTTTGGTTCTGTTTATGTGCTGGATTATGTTTATAGATTTGCGTATGTTGAACCAGCCTTGCATCCCCAGGATGAAACCTATTTGATTATGGTGGATATGCTTTTTGATGTGCTGTTGGATTTGGTTTACCAGTATTTTATTGAAGATTTTTGCATCAATATTCATTATGGATATTGGCCTGTAGTTTTCTTTTTAAGTTGTGTCTCTGCCAGGTTTTGGTATCAGGATTATATTGGTCTCATAGAAAGAGTTAGGGAGGATTCCCTCTTTTTGTATTGTTTGGAATAGTTTCAAGAGGAATGGTACCAGCTCCTCTTTGTATGTCTGGTAGAATTCGGCTGTGAACCTGTTTGGACCCGGACTTTTTTTGGTTGGTAGGCTATTAATTGCTGCCTCAACTTCAGACCTTGTTATTGGTCTATTCAGGGTTTCAGTTTCTTCATGGTTTAGTCTTGGGAGTGTGCAAGTGTCCAGGAATTTATCCATTTCTTTTTTTTTTTTTTTTTTGAGACAGAGTTTCACTCTTGTTACCCAGGCTGGAGTGCAATGGCGTGATCTCAGCTCACCGCAACCTCCGCCTCCTGGGTTCAGGCAATTCTCCTGCCTCAGCCTCCTGAGTAGCTGGGATTACAGGCATGTACCACCCTGCCCAGCTAATTTTTTTTTGTATTTTTAGTAGAGACAGGGTTTCACCATGTTGACCAGGATGGTCTCGATCTCTTCACCTCGTGATCCACCCACTTCGGCCTCCCAAAGTGCTGGGATTACAGGCTTGAGCCACTGCGCCCAGTGAATTTATCCATTTCTTCCAGATTTACTGGTTTATGTGCATAGAGGTGTTTGTAGTAATCTCTGATGGCAGTTTGTTTTTCTGAGGAATCAGTGGTGATCTCCCCTTTATCGTTTTTTATTACATCTATTCGATTCTTCTCTCTTTTCTTTTTTTATTATTCTAACTAGCAGTCTGTTTTGTTGATCTTTTCCAAAAACCAGCTCCTGGATTTATTGATTTTTTTTAAAGGGTTTTTTGTGTCTCTGTCTCCTTCAGTTCTGCTCTGATCTTAGTTATTTCTTGTCTTCTGCTTGCTTTTGAGTTTTTTTGATCTTGCTCCTCTAGCTCTTTCAGTTTTGATGATAGGGTGTGGATTTTAGATCTTGCCTTGTTTCTCATGTGGGCATTTATTGCTATAAATTTCCCTCTAGACACTGCTTTAAATGTGTCCCATGGGATCTGGTACATTGTGTCTTCGTTCTCATTGGTTTCAAAGAACTTTTTTATTTCTGCCTTCATTTCATTGTATAGCCATTTGTCATTCAGGAGCAAGTTGTTCAGTTTCCATGTGATTGTGTGGTTTTCAGTGCTTTTCTTAATCCTTAGTTCTAATTTTATTGTGCTGAGGTCTGAGAGACTGTTTGTTATGATTTCCATTCTTTTGCATTTCCTGAGGAGTGATTTACATTTGCTGAGGAGTGACTGACCAATTATGTGGTCAATTTTAGAATAAGTGTGATGTGGTGCTGAGAAGAATATGTATTCTGTGGATTTGGGGTGGAGTGTTCTGTAAACGTCTATTAGGTCCACTTGGTCCAAATCTGCATTCAAGTCCTGGATATCCTTGTTGACTTTCTGTCTCATTGATGTGTCTGATATTGTCAGTGGAGTGTTAAAGTCTCCCACTATTATTGTGCAGGAGTCTAAGTCTCTTTGTAGGTCATTAAGAACTTCCTTTATGTATCTGGGTGCTCCTGGATTTACTTAAGATAGTTAGCTCTTTTTGTTGCATTGATCCTTTTACCATTATGTAATGCCCTTCTTTGTCTCTTCTGATCTTTGTTGGTTTAAAGCCTGTTTTATCAGAGAGTAGGATTGCCACCCCTGCCTTTTTTTTTTTTTTTCCTCTCTCCATTTGCTTGGTAAATCTTCCATCACTTCATTTTGTGTCTATGTGAGTTTTTGTGCTTGAGATAGGTCTCCTGAATACAGCATGCAGATGGGTCTTAACTTTTTATCCAGTTTGCCAGTCTGTGTGTCTTTTGATTAGGGCATTTAGGCCATTTACATTCAATGTTAATATTGTTATGTTTGAATTTGATCCTGCCATTTTTTTACTGGCTAGTTGTTTTGCCCATTGGTTGATGCAGTTTCTTCACTGTGTCGTTGGTCTTTACCATTTGCTAAGTTGTTGCAGTGGCTGGTACTAGTTGTTCCTTTCCATGTTTAGTGCTTCCTTCAGGAGCTCTTGTAAGGCGGGTCTGGTGGTGACAGAGTCTCTCAGCAATTGCTTGTCCATAAAGGATTTTGTTTCTCCTTCACTTATGAAGCTTTGTTTGGCCGGATATGAAATTCTGGGTTGAAAGTTCTTTTCTTTAAGGATGTTGAATATTGTCCCCCTACTCCCTTCTAACTTGTAGGGTTTTGCTAAGAGATATGCTGTGAGTCTGATGGTCTTTCCTTTGTGGGTGACTCGACCTTTCTCTCTGGCTGCCCTTAGGATTTTTTCCTTCGTTTCAACCCTAGTGAATCTGACAATTATGTGCTTTGGGGTTGCACTTCTTGAGGTGCATCATTGTGGTGTTGTCTGTATTTCCTGGATTTGAATGTTGGACTACCTTGGTAGGTTGGGGAAGTTCTCCTGGATAATATCCTGAAGAATGTTTTCCAGTTTGGATTCATTCTCCCTGTCACATTCAGGTACACGGATCAAGTGTAGATTAGGTCTTTTCACATAATCCCATAGTTCTTGGAGATTTTGTTCATTTCTTTTTACTCTTTTTTCTCTAATCTTGCCTTCTCATTTTATTTCATTGATTTGATCTTCAATCTCTAATATCCTTTCTTCTGCTTGATCAGTTTGGCTGTTTAAACTTATGTTCGCCTTGCAAAGTTCTCATGCTGTGTTTTTCAGCTCCATCAAGTCATTTATGTTCTTCTCTGAGCTGGTTATTATAGATAACATTTCGTCTAACCCTTTTTCAAGGTTTTTAGTTTCTTTGCATTGGGTTAGGACATGGTCTTTTAACTCAGAGAAGTTTGTTATTGCCCACCTTCTGAAGCCTGCTTCTGTCAGTTCCTCAAACTCATTCTCTATCTTGTTTTGTTCCCTTGGTGGTGAGAAGTTGTGGTCCCTAGGAAGAGAAGAGCAGTTCTGGTCTTTGATGTATTCATCCTTTCTGCGCTGGTTTCTTCCTGTCTTCGTGGATTTATCTCCTTTTGATCTTTGAAGTTGGTGATTTCTGGAGGTATCTGAGTGGTCGTCCTTTCTGTTGAGGTTGGAGCTATATCTCCTATGTGAGGTTTATGTTTTGTTTTGTTTTCGTTTTTGGTTTTTTGCTTATAGAGGCGCTGCTGGGCTGCCTTGGATTCAGTCAGGCTGCTAGGAGGTCTTCCCCTGGAGTTTGTTTATGCAGGTGAGATGAGCCCCGCCTTCCCAATGGGAGGGCATCTTTCCTTCCCTGTGCTCAATCTTCCCTGTCAGAGTCAAACTGGTGTATTTGCTTGGAAACTCTCTAGGGCGCCAAGCTTCAGTTTGTTGAGTTTTGTGGGGGTGGAACCTGCCAGGCCTTATGTCCTGTTTCCCTGCTTTCAACTCTGCTTTTTTCTGTGGGATGGGTAGTTTGGTCCCCCTGGCATTAGTCCAAACTTCCACCCCATCCCTGCTGACGACTTGTGGTGCCAGGCAGGCCACAGCCCTCACTCAGATTTTCACAGAAGGAATCCCCGCAGCGCCCCTCAGTCAGGCGGGGCTCTCGTGGACTGTGACTTGCTGGAAGGATGAGGGTAGCCTAGGATCCGAATTGGAGCACAGTGCGGGTGAAGTCCCTGGCCCTCCGAGCCAGCTTCACTTTCTGGATGGGGACGCGCCCCGCCCTGGGCTGCTCTCACCTTGCTTTGGCTCGCCTTCCCTGGGCTATTTTCTCTTTCCTACCAGTCCCACTGAAACGAACCCGGAAGCTTGCTTGGAATTGTGGAGTCCTCTAGCCCCTCTGCGTCTCACTCGCTGGGAGCTGCACTCTGGAGTTGCCTCCTATCAGCCATCTTGGCAGCTCCCCCATCACAATTAGGTGTTTTTCTATTTTAGCAAGTTGGCTTCTAGAGATATAGAAGACGATTCTGACATGCTACTTAAAATTTCCCTAGAAATCCAGGCACGTTTGTAAAAAAGAAAAAGATACCAGTGTAGGCTGGGCATGGTGGCTCACGCCTGTAATTCCAGCAGTTTGAGAGGCCGAGGTTGGCAGATCGATCACGAGGTAAAGATGTCAAGACCACCCTGGCCAACACGGTGAAGCCTTGTCTCTACTAAAAATATAAAAATTCGCAGGGTGTGGTAGTGGGCACCTGTAATCCCAGCTACTTGAGATGCTGGGGCAGGAGAGTCACTTGAGCCCAGGAGGCAGAGGTTGCACTGAGCCGAGATTGCACCCACTGCACTCCAAACTGGGCGACAAGAGTGATAGGTACTCCACCTCACAAAAATAAAAAATAAAAAAATACCAGTGTAAAACAAGATCAAATGATACAACTGAAACGCACAAATGCTATCCAGATGTTTTTGTTATTGCCCATTTATTTTGGCCAGTGAACATTTGAGAGACTCACATATGAAGTTCAGGGGCCATGCACTTTGTATCTCTTTCCCCAATATTAATGCACTTACCCCTGTCTATTTTTCTCTTTTTTTTCGGTGGAGGAGATAATGCCTGTTGTGTACAGTAGGACCATGGGTCATTGTGTATGTATAGAAGTGATGTGGATTCCTCCCAGACTCATTAGTGACCAGGACTAATGACTTTCCTAGACTAGAGAAGAAGACAAGAACCAGGATGGGAAGATGGACATGTTACATTTTAAGCTGGAGCTTCCCCTGCAGTCCACGGAGCACGTTCTCGGTGTGCAGCTCATCCTGACTTTCTCCTATCAGTTACACGTGAGTCAGTCCACTGGGAGGCCGTCCTCTCTCTTGTGTCTTTTTCATAGACCAGAGCCCTTCTTCTGATTTCTAGAAGACCCACACCATAGCAGGCCCTCTTCCCCATGTAGTTTGGGATAGCTTAGGCCAGTCAAATGTTTTTCACTGGAGTCATATTAATTAATATGGGCTATTAATAGTTCAGAAGGTTCTAGGCAGTGTTTCCTGCATGACTATGCCGGGTATGTGAGGGCCCCTTAGGTTTCAGCCAAGACAGCTGACTGTTATCACCCAGAGCCCTTCAGATCTGCCAGCGGTTGGTACTGTTTCTTTTTCTAATGATTTCAGAGGCTGTCAACCTTCGTGATGCAGAGCATGGCATTTCTTCAGTCCTCCTTTGCTATCCCTGGATCCCAGTTACATGTGAATGGAGACCTGAGGCTGCAGCAGAAACAGCCGCTGAGCTGTGGCGGCCTAGATGCCCGATACAATGTAAGGGTGCTTCTCATTGTCCAGCTCCTTTGTTTCTGTGTGTTATTGTTCATCGATTCTTTGAAGAGGGACGTGAAAAGTAGAAATACCAGGCCAGGTGTCATGGCTCACACCTGTCATCCTAGCACTTTGGGAGGCCAAGATGGGCGGATCACTTGAGGCCAGGAGTTTGAGAACTGCCTGGACAACATAGTGAAACCTTGTCTCTACTAAATGTAAAAAAAAAAAAAAAAAAAAAAAATTGCTGGGCATGTGGCATGCACCTGAAATTCCTAGCTACTCAGGAGGCTGAGGCAGGAGAATTGCTTGAACGCGGGAGGTGGAGGTTACAGTGAGCCAAGATCATACCAGTGCACTCCAGCCTGGGCCACAGAGTGAGACTCTGCCTCAAAAAAAAAAAAAAAACAGAAAAGAACCTAAGGGATACTGTAAAATGATCATGTAAAATGTTCACGTAAAGTATTTCAGAAATATTACTAGCCATAGTCTACTAAACCCATAACGTAGGCCAGCCGTGAGTGCAGGTGTTTACCTGTATCATCTCCTTCAATTATCACAGCAACCTCTGAGCCGCCCACACTGTCCTTTCTCAGCGCTCCAGCCACTTGTCCCATCGCTGTCCCCCTTGCTCCCTTCCAGCCACCCTGGCCTTTTTGCTGTTCCTCAAACCCAGGAAGCAGCTGCCACCTCAGGGCTTTTGCTCTTGCCGTCTCCTCTGCCAGGCATCTGCGTGACTTAGCGGACCACGCCATTCAGGTCCTTGTTCAGATATCCCTGAGCACAGTCCTTCCCTGAGCTGCCTCTGCAGTAGCAGCCCCTCCCTCCATCATCCCTCTGCCAGACTTTCCCTCCTGCCACCTGGCCTACTCAGGACACGTGTTTATGTGTTTATTTGTTGTCTCCCTCAGCATTGACAGGAGTGGCATCTCATGTACTGTCACGTCAGTGCCTAGCACCCTGCCTGGCACATGAGAAGCTCGCAGAGATGCTTGTTTAAAGAATGAACTCATTTTGCAGAAGACGAAACCGGGGCTTACAGTGATTAATTTTCCCAAAGGGTCAAAGCTTAAAAGTATATCAGAGCCAGGAACTTTTTGTCTGAGTCCAGAACTCATGCATCAAATTACTCATTCCTCAACTTTCTTTTATCATAACAGGGATCATAAAAGTTAGGCTGAGGTCATTAGAAAGTGAGGAAGGAACATTACTGGTTATTACAGTCATAAACCAGTGCTTGTAGATAAACAGTGGGTTTTACTGTTGCTCTGGCTGTCATCAACGTAAGTTATAAAGAAGAGGAAGCAATATATGAAATAATGAATGTGGCAATTTTTGTTTGAATGTCTGTATATCAGATTACATTAACAGCAAGCAATTATTTTCTCCTTTAAGGTATTAAACACTTACAGTTTGCATTTTATCTATTTCTATCTCTATATTTAAAAGTGAGAAAGAACTTAGCACCCAGAGAGGACCAAGAAAATGACAAAGCAGTGGGAAGTATGGTTTCTTGTTTTTGTTTTTGTTTTTTATATTTATTTTTGAGACAGAGTCCTGCTCTGTCACCCAGGCTAGAGTGCAGTGGCATGATCTCAGGTCGCTGAAACCTCCGCCTCCCAGGCTTAAGAGATCGTCTGGCTTTAGCCTCCTGAGGTAGTGAGTAGCTGGGATTACAGGCATGTGCCACCATGCCAGGCTAATTTTTTTTTTCTTTTTTTTTTTTTTTTTTTAGTAGATATGGGGTTTTGCTATGTTGTCCAGGCTGGTCTCAAGTGATCTGTCTGCCTTGACTTCCCAAATTGTTGGGATTAGAGGCATGAACCGTAATGCCTGGCTTTTTTTTTTTTTTTTTTTTTTTTTTTTTTTTTTAAGAGAGACGAGGTCTTGCTCTGTTTCCTAAGCTGGAGTACAGTGTCGTGATCATCATTGACTGCAGCCTTGAACTCATGGCCTCAAGTGGTCCTCCTGCCTCAGCCTTCCAAGTCAGTGGGATTGCAGGCATGAGTCACCACACCTGCTGAAAATATGGTCTGTTAAAATAATGTAAGAAATTCTTTCTCCTACTGAGATAGAGGGAGTACTTTTTTTTTTTAAGGGCAGGGTTTCACCATGTTGGTCAGGCTGGTCTTGAACTCTCGACCTCAGGTGATCCACCCTCCTTGGCCTCCAAAATGCTTGGATTACAGGCATGAGCCATCACGCCCGGCCGATAGAGGGAGTAGTTTAAAAATAGCTTTAAAACCTCTGAAACATGGACACTGAGCCCTTATTTCCATCCGCAGAAATACTGAGAGTAAATGGGCTTAAATTGTTGCAAGAGAGTTTATTCATCTTCGAGGAGAAGATTATTGACATGGGAATAGGTCACCAAGACCACAAGGGTGGTCTGTGGGACCAGGCTGGGTGTCAGGAGGGTAGAAGGAAGCGAGGAGGATCCTCCCAGGTGCTGACATCCTCCTCCCATGTCCCAGGTATCCGTGATCAACGGGACAAGCCCCTTTGCCTATGATTATGACCTGACACGTATTGTTGCTGCCTACCAGGAAAGGAACGGTGAGTCACAAGTAGAGCTCTTTCAGCCGCTGCTCAGGACTTTCAAGGTTACTGGGGACAACAGAGACAAGCAGAATTGGAGCCCTTGTGATAAAAATGTCAAAACCCATGAATGCCTAATGATGGGAACAACTGTGCTGTCCAGAATTTGTCCTTTTCATCCTGATCTTCAGACCTGGGACTGCCCCCACCCCTCCAGCATCCCATGGTCCGTATCTCACTGGCTTGATGGGTTTCTTTTTTTTTTTTTGGAGGTAGAGTCTTGCTCTGTTGCCCAGCCTGGAGTGCAATGGTGCAATCTTGGCTCACTGCAACCTCCGCCTTCCAGGTTCAAGTGATTCTCCTGCCTCAACCTCTTGGGTACCTGGGAATTTAGGCATGCACCACCACACCCAGCTAATTTTTGTATTTTTAATAGAGACGAGTTTTTACCATCTTGGCCAGGCTGTTCTCAAACTCCTGACCTCGTGATCCACCCACCCTGGCCTCCCAAAGTGGTGGGATTACAGGCGTGAGCTACCTTTTTTAAAAATATAAGCCTAATTGAGTTGTTCCCCATACCACACCTATAACAGATGCCAAAGACAAATTGCTGTTCATGCTTTTCAGAGAGAAAACAAGAACATGAGTGACTCTCCCCACATTAGCAGTCCAGCAGGAGAACAGGAGTGCCCGTGCTTCCTACCAGAAAGCACAGTGTCCTCATTCCTTACAGAGCTCTAGGCCATGGCATGCGTTGATTCGGCACATTTGGCTGGCCGGTGGCTGAGGTTTTCTCTAAAAGCATCTACAGTCTTACTTGGCAACCAGATATCATAGAGACTACACACAGGCATTTCACAAAGGGGACGACTGCAAATCCACTGTTGCTTTCTGATTTTATGTCACATACTAGCGGCATTATTGCAGTACTAGAGGGAATTTTAAAACAAATTCCCTCTGGGCACGGTGGCTTATGCCTGTAATCCCAGCACTTTGGGAGGCTGAGGTGGGTGAATCGCCAACGTGGTGAAACCCCATCTCTACTAAAAATGCAGAAATTAGTATGGCATGGGCATGGTGACAGGCATCTATATTCCCAGCTACTTGGGAGGCTAAGGTAGGAGAATCACTTGAACCTGGGAGGCAGAGGTTGCAGTGAGCCGAGATCATGCCCTTGCACTCTAGCCTGGGCGACAGCGAGTTTGTCTCAAAAAAAAAAAAAATGAAAAAAACTAGAAGACATCGCCTTACAAATCAACCATTTTTTTCTTCCTTTTATTCTTTACCCTTCTGCGGATCTTTTTATACTCCCATTGTAGTGTAGAAACACACGGGAATCCAAGTTATTTTTATTTATTTAAGCTGGTAATATAAATACTTCCCCACACAGCTACAAAGCTATGATATTACTTTTAGTGGCAGTATAGTATTCCTTCAGTTAACCATTCAGTACATCTAGAAGAAACTCTTTCCAAAATTTTTTTATGTATCTTTTTTTTTTTTGAGACGGAGTTTCGCTCTTGTTACCCAGGCTGGAGTGCAATGGCGTGATCTCGGCTTACCGCAGCCTCCGCCTCCTGGGTTCAGGCAGTTCTCCTGCCTCAGCCTCCTGAGTAGCTGGGATTACGGGCACGCACCACCATGCCCAGCTAATTTTTTTGTATTTTTAGTAGAGATGGGGTTTCACCATGTTCACCAGGATGGTCTTGATCTCTTGACCTTGTGATCCACCCACCTCGGCCTCCCAAAGTGCTGGGATTACAGGCTTGAGCCACCGTATGTATCTTAACAAAAGTATTTTGACTATTACTTTAACAAATAATGTGTGATTGGCCAGGTACGGTGGCTCACTCCTGTAATTCCAGCACTTTGGGAGGCCACGGTGGGCAGATCATGAGGTCAGGACATCAAGACCATCCTGGCCAACATGGTGAAACCCCATCTCTACTAAAATACAAAAAATTAGCTGGGTGTGGTGGCGTGCACTGATAGTCCCAGCTACTCTGGAGGCTGAGGCAGGGGAATCACTTGAACCCAGGAGGCGGAGATTGCAGTGAGCTGAGATCACGCCATTGTGCCCCAGCCTGGCAACAGAGGGAGACTCCATCTCAAAAAACAAAACAAAAATAAATAATGCGTAATCAAATTTGCACATGCAATTTCTCTTTCCTTCTAAATGATGTCTTTCAGTTCTGAAGCACAGGACAATCAGATAATCTTTATAGCCCTCAATTGCCAGGGTCAAAAGGCCATCTTGGTTAATGGTTAATGATTGCCTTGCAGTTACCACCATCCTGAGTGATCCCAACCCCATCTGGCTGGTGGGCAGGGCCGCAGATGCTCCATTTGTGATTAATGCTATCATCCGATACCCTGTGGAAGTCGTTTCATATCCTTTCTTTTAAAGACTCCATGGCAGGTCTGGGTGTGGGGGCTCCTGCCTGTCATTTCAGCACTTCAGGAGACTGAGGTGGGAGGATTGCTTAAGCCCAAAAGTTTACAATCAGCCTGGGCAAAATAGCAAGACCCTGTCTCTACCAAAAAAAAAAAAAAAAAAAAATTAGCCAGGCATATTGGTGCACATGTGTAGTCGCAGCTACTTGGGATGCCGAGGCAGGAGGATTGCTTTAGCCCAGGAGTTCAAGATTGCAGTGAGCTATGATTGTGCCACTATATTCCAGTCTCCGTGACAGAGAGACCCTGTCTCTTAAAACAAACAACAACAGCCGGGCGCGGTGGCTCAAGCCTGTAATCCCAGCACTTTGGGAGGCCGAGGCGGGTGGATCACGAGGTCGAGAGATCGAGACCATTCTGGTCAACATGGTGAAACCCCGTCTCTACTAAAAATACAAAAAAATTAGCTGGGCATGGTGGCACGTGCCTGTAATCCCAGCTACTCAGGAGGCTGAGGCAGGAGAATTGCCTGAACCCAGGAGGCGGAGGTTGCGGTGAGCCAAGATCGCGCCATTGCACTCCAGCCTGGGTAACAAGCGCGAAACTCCGTCTCAAAAAAAAAAAAAAAACAAACAACAACAACAACACACAAATCAATGGTAACTTAGTTTTCAAAGGGGAATGATTCTTCAGTTGTCCCAAGTAGGAACACATGTGGGAAGTTTTATCTTGGAAATCACTACAGAGTTATAGCCTCATAGAAATGTCTGTGTCTTCAAGGTCAAGAGATCAAGACCATCCTGGTCAACATGGTGAAACCCTGTCTCTACTAAAAATACAAAACATTAGCTGGGCGTGGTGGCGCATGCCTGTAATCCCAGCTACGCAGGCGGTTGAGGCAGGAGAATTGCCTGAACCCAGGAGGCGGAGGTTGCAGTGAGCCGAGATCGCACCATTGCACTCCAGCCTGGGTAACAAGAGCGAAACTCCGTCTCAAAAAAAAGAAAAAAGAAAGAAAGAAAAAAGAAATGTCTGTGTCTTGGAAGTTTACGCTACATGATTCAAAAAATGACTATGTATGTCTGCTATTCATCCGGGAAAAAATAATTCATTTCTTGGTCCTATTTCTTCCCGAACAATTCTTCTAGATAAGAATCATCCATATTTATGTCTTAATAGCCATATGTTATCAGCCAGGTGTGGTTGCTCATACCTGTAATCCCCACACTTTGGGAGGCTGAGGCAGGCAGATCACGAGGTCAGGCGATCTAGATCAGCCTGGCCAATATGGTGAAACCCTTTCTCTACTAAAAAATACAAAAATTAGCCAGGCATGGCAGTACATGCCTGTAATCTCAGCTACTCGAGAGGCTGAGGCAGAAGAATCGCTTGAACCCGGGAGGCAGAGGTTGCAGTGAGCCAAGATCATGCCACTGCACTCCAGCCTGGGCAACAGAGTGAGACTCAGTCTCAAAAAAAAAAATCATAGATTATCCCTTTTATGCTAAGGTTATGTGAAACATTATTCCCAGTCCCTGTCTGACCTAAACTTTGCTTTAATTTTGACTTGTGTTAAAATTAATAGGAAATGAAACCAACACCAGCAGTGCAGAGAAGCAAACAAAAGAGAAGGCATTTTAACTGGGGTCTTAGGAATTACAATTCCAGAGACACAAATCTAGGAATCAGCTAATTTGTGTTCTATCCAGGCACAATTAGGCAGGGGCTTATAACAGTATTGTAGAAGATTTTAGAGGAGTCCCTGATCAAGGATGGCTGGCTAACAGCTCAGGATGTCTCTAGTCCATGATCAATCTAGTTTGGTTAAGAGGTTGTCTGATTAGGAGGTTGGTGATCAGGCTTAGTATATAAATAGTTCAAATCACATGAGGCAGGTTTTTACCATTTGGCCAAGTTCAGCAGGTCAGCTTCCACCCGGGTGTGTACATGACAGAGGTCCGATTCCTTATGCCATCCAGCCTCCTTTCTAGATCCCTCTGCCAGTTCCATCTTGGATTTTCTCTTCATACTTAACACCATGTGGCCCTCCACTCCTTAACTGTCTGTACTTATCAGCCAGGATTCTGGGAGATGGTAAAGTTCGCCTGGGTGCAGTATGTCAGCATCCTGCTTATCTTCCTCTGGGTGTTTGAAAGAATCAAGATCTTCGTGTTTCAGAATCAGGTGGTGACCACCGTCCCTGTGACAGCGACGCCCCGGGGAGAAGTGCTGAAGGAGCACGTATCCTAGGAATGCCGTTTCTGAGGACTCAGCAGGACCGTGGCTGCCTCATTGTCATCTCCTGGGAACATCTTAGGATGTTTCTGAAAGAGCCCAGGGGACACATGCGGGCTTGTGTGCTCTTCCCCTAGGAGACAAAGAACAGTTCTTCCCTTTGCTCTATACAAGTTCCATATCTTCAGAGCTCCTGCAGAATCGTCAGGGAGTAGTTCGTGGAAAGGTCTGAGGGTTCCTGGAGGCTGTAATTAGCTTTTTGGGTTTTTCTTCTTTGCCTTAGCATTGCATTTCAGGAGAAAATTGCAGTCAGTTCAGACATCTTGGAAAGAGTCCCATCTCTGGTCAAGCAGAGACTTTTCCTCTGTTGAGTGAGAAACACACTGTACATTTCTTCCTTCTATTGTGAGCCACTGTTACTCTTTTCAGGGCTCTCTTGTGACAAACATGCCAATCACTAGCACTTTGCACCCCTGGGCCTCTCCATTTCCCATTCAGAGCTTTGATTTCCAGAGCTGAGGCCTTTCACTGGAGACCTGGAGGGGCAGGGCACAAGGGGGAGGGTCGCCTTGGCACAGGCATGAGGGAGGGCCGCTGAAGGACCCTCGGACCATCACCTGCCTCGGCCCGAAAGTCTGTCATCTGTCATCAGCTCAGCGGAGCAGCCCTGGATGCCTGCCTGACTGTGGCTGGCTCTTTGCCCTGTTTTGCCCTCTGTCTGCGCCCCTGGATGGCAGACTGAAGTCAGAGGGGCTGTTCATTCCCAGCCCCCTCAGCAGCACTGGGGGAAGAAAGGATTGTCACAACAGGTTCTTTCTGGCCCTCACTCAACAGCCTGGGCACTTGGCCCTCCTCCTCCTTGACAGCCCTCCCCCTTCCTGCAAAGGACAGGGGTGACCAGAGCTGGTGTTGGGATTGGCTCCCACTGCCTGACAACCACAAGTTTATTTAGAAGGCTAGCGGGAAGCCCAGCGGCTTGTGTTTCCCTTGACTAAGGAACAGGGTACTCATTAGAGTGGGGCGGGGAGCTTTGGGAAGGGCACAAGAAGCAGTGAGGGAGTAAGGAGGATGCTGGCCGGGGCAGGGCAGTCCAGCCTGGCGACTAGCAGAATGCCAAGCAGTCCAGCTGGATTACCATGGTGGCTGAGCAAGTGTCTGCGGGAGCAGAGGTGGCTGGAAGGGGCCTCTGCACATGGAAGACGGCTTGCTCAGCCCCTTCACCTCCTGAGAACGTGAGCAGTCTCCTCTAAGGACAGACGGAGCTGCTTCCTGATCCCAAGCAGGTCGTTGCCACTGGAAGACATGGCCCCTGCATCATGCCCACAAACACACCTCTTAGTGTGTGCCTCCATTTACCTTGGAGATCACCTCTCGTCTCCAGCACCATTTCCTTTACACTGACTAAAAACAGTTTTGGAAACAGCTATTGTCAAGTATACAAGCAGAAGAAATCCCTAAAACACTGTCCCCCCCCCCCTTTTTTTTTTTTAAATTCAGGCTGTTTTATATGCCTAAATTTTTTTCTTGAGATCTAAATGAAAAATAGTTTCTTGTTTAAATCCCCATAAGGTAATAAGATTTAGAAAGATACAATATATGTATAAACATTGGTTTGCATTTTATTAAATCATTCTCATGAAAATTTTGTGTAAAGAACCCATGATGTTTTGTAATTTTCTAATTAAAATGTTCAAAATGAGGCCAAGCATGGCGGTTCATCCCTGTAATCTCAACACATTGGGAGGCCAAGGCAGGAGGATCACTTGAGGCCAGGTGTTTGAGGCTGCAGTGAGCTATGCTCACACCACTGCGCTCCAGCCTGGGTGACAGAGTGAGACCCTGTTTCTAAAGAAAAAAAGAAAAAGTCAGAATGGAAAATCACATGTACCTTTTTCCAGGGAAAGCGTTTGGAATGGGAAGAATAGGGAGGGCAGAGGTTGCACACAGCTGTCTTCATTATTCATAAGCAGCAGTGCCTTACAAAGGCTCTGCCCAAAGACCTTGGAACTTGGGTTACATCTTCGGTGAAAGTTCCCTGGCTCTTCCCCAAGTAAGTGAGTTTTTAGTGGAATTCACATGCCATTTGAAAGCCACGTGCTGTATAATTACAACTGCATCTGGTGAATATTAAATTTTTTACAGATCAGATGTTGATAGTTTCTGACTGAATCACAGCATAGCTGCAAGAAGTGAAAAGGCAAGAAATATACAGAATTTTATTAACTCAGCTCTGAGCCATAGCTAAGTTAATGTTTGATATTACTGAATATTTGGAGGCAGAAAGACTCCTGACTTTGCAAAATGATTAGTACAGTTTCAGCTTAAGTCAGAGGAGACCCCCCTAATACCGTATCATGAAAGGCTAAAAAGTAATTCTTTCTTTACTTGTTGCCCAGGCTTGAGTGCAATGGTGCTCACGGCAACCTCCACCTCCAGGGTTCAAGCAGTTCTGCCTCACCCTCCGGAGTATCTAGGATTACAGTCGCCTGCCATCACGCCTAGCTAATTTTTATATTTTTAGTAGTGACGGGGTTTCACGGTGTTGGCCAGGCTGGTCTTGAACTCCTGACCTCTAGTGATCCACCTGCCTCGGCCTCCTAAAGTGCTGGGTTCACAGCAGTTTGATCACAGAAGTTGTTATGGTTGGCATTGGGGCACACATCTTTCTAATCTTTTTTGTTGGCATCTTTTTAGTATTATAAACAACACTTCTATAAACCTTGTGTAGAAATCCTTGTTGCTGGTTTATTTCCTTAAGATGTATTCAAAAAACTTACGACCATTGTTAAGGATCTTAATTCATTGCGAAACCACAGCTGGGAAAGACTGCAAATTTCTTGTTTGATACCGCCTTGGGTTACAGTACCTCCGAATGCTCTGTCCTTTTCAGTTTTCAGTCCTTTTCAGTTGGTTGGGCTCTGCCCTTTTCTTTGTTTGTTTGTTTTAGAGATGGAGACTCACTTTGTCACCCAGGCCGGAGTACAATGCCCATGTTTCACCACACTGGCCAGGCTGGTCCTGAACCATCTCAAGTGATCTGCCAGCCTCACCTCCCAAAGTGCCGGGATTACAGTTGAGTGCCACCATGCTGTTCTGACCTGTTATTTGTAAAGCGTGGGTGAGGATCTTTTATTTCCTGAAACATATCCTGCTATGAAGCTGTGCCTCTGGGTGGAGGCTAGGGCAGGGTGGGCCCAGCTCCTAAGGCCACCTGGTCTCTCCACCCCTCCCAGATAGAGCACTACTGCACCAGGTCCCTGTGTCATCCAGGTGCCTGGGTCTTGGCTTAGGGCTGAGGCTGGAGCCTCGGGAAGGGTTTGGATTCCAAGTCACTTTGTGGCAAGGATGCCTCCGAGAGCAAGGAGGGCCAATATAAGATTCAACTTCCCTCACTAAGGCCTTTGTTCTTTTGCGGTTAGTTAGATGAGAGGTGACTCAGCCAGCACCCTTTGACATCCTGCCTCTCAAAGCCCCAGCCCACCTGGGCCCTCCTGCCCCGCCCTTGGCCAGCGCCCCTCCCCCGAGGTGTGGCTCCTCTGTCAGGAGTAGAGAGAGGGAGTTAGGGGCAAACCGGTTCCATCCTTCCCCTATCGCCCGGGCTCCCGCTGGCCACGCCTGAAAGCGCCACATAGTGTGCGCTCCAGGCTAGCAGCACCGAGCAGCGCCAAGGGTTGCGGGCCGCAGTGCCACGCTCTGGAGGGGGCTCTGAGCCGGGTCCCTCCCTGTCGTAGCCGCAGGACACCCCCACCCTCCACATCCCATTCAGATTCACTCTGCCTCGAGTTTCCAGGAGCTTCCGGTGGCTTGGTCCCCTGACACCCATCCATGCCTCTTAGAGCCCTTTTCCCGGCGTCACAGGCTGTCCTGTCGTAGTCTTGGGACCTTAAGGAGCAAGTCAGCCCTGCGGGCCCTCCCAGTGAAGAGAAGGAGTTGGCTGTGCGGTGGAACTTGGAAGAGACGACGTCTGGGAGCCTTTGCTGAGCCCAGGGAGAGAGGCGTCCCACTCCCTGCCGCGCCAATCGGGCAGAGACGCCAAGCTTTGGGGTACGTTGGTTCTTCACTCTCCATGGAGGATGTCCCCACACTTGGGTGGGCTGAGAGCTGGACCAGTGGCACAGTTGGGGACGCTCCTCTGTCTTCACTGGGGACCTGAGTTGGCAGGAAGAGCTGGGTTGGTTTTCTATCAGCAACTGGAAAGCTGGGGCTTCAGCTGCACGTGGGATCCTCACTGCGGGGGGTCTTTTGTTTCCATATTTGGCTTTTAAAGGGCATGTCTTTTAAAAGCTCTCGGTAGAGTACTTGAGAAAAAGTAGCTTGGCGAGTTAATTTGGAACCAGACTCAGGGGATTTGGAATTGTGCCTCACTGCCCCGAGCGGCTTGATGTTGGGTTTCAGGACGGGCCCTCTGGGCCATAGGACAGGTGCCTAGGAAATGTTTTTGTTTGCTTGTTTGTTTTGCGACAAAGTCTGGCTCTGTCACCCAGGCTGAAGTGCAGTGGTGATCTTGGCTCACTGTAACCTCCGCTTCTCAGGCTCAGAAGATTTCCTGCCTCAGCCTCCCCAGTAACTGGGATTACTGGTGCTGGCCACCACACCCCAGCTAATTTTTATATTTTTGTATTTTTAGTGTTTCACCATGTTGGCAGGCTGGTCCGAACTCCTCAGGTGATAGCGCCACCCACACACCCCCGCCGAATCCTGCCTCAGCCTCTCAGGCTGGGATTACAGGCATGAGCCACTGCACTGGGACCAAATTTTTTTTTTTTTTTTTAACATGGAGTTTCTTTCCTGTTGCCCAGACTAGAGTGCAATGGTGCAATCTCGGCTCACTGCATCCTCTGCCTCCTGGGTTCAAGCAATTCTCCTGCCTCAGCCCCCCAAGTAGCAGGGATTACAGGTACCTGCCACCACACTCCACCTAATTTTTATATTGTTAGTAGAGATAGGTTTCCCAAAGCATTGTGATACTTTTAAGCCACTGTGCCCGGCCTCTAGGAAATGTTGACTCTTTTTTCTCTTCTCTTTTACACGGAGGCAAGGCAGTCAAGAACTGCATTTTTGGCCAGGCGCCATGGCCCAATGCTTGTAATCCCAACCCTTTGGGAGGCCAAGGTTGTGATGCCCCCATCTCTACTTTTAGAATTTTATGTGACCTCTATGTACTACTTTTCTGAAAACCAAACGTGTAATAAATATGTGCCCCCAGAAAAGAATCAAAAAAGGGAAGAATTTAGGGTGGGAGGGGATAGTCCTTCCAGGATGGAAGAGTTCACTGTACCAAGGCTTAGGAGTGGGACCTGCCACAGACCCCTGTGCTGGGCGTCTGGCTCTTGGACTAAATCTCCAGCCCTGTGCTGGGAGTCTGGCTCTTGGACTTAAGCCCCTGCCCTGCCTCTTTCTCACTGGGCATTCATGTCTCTGATCCCCACTGCTTCAATTGAAACAGACAGGGATGGTCGATTCTGCCTCGCCTGACTGGTTCTTCCTAACTGAATCCTTGGCCAATTGTCCACTGTGCTGATCTTATCAGAAAGCTCCCAGTGAGGAGCTGGTCTTCTGGAGACTCTGTGTGGCATAGGGTGATTCAACCACCTTCTTTTTTTTTTTTTTTTTTTGTGACAGTCTTGCTCTGTCATCAGGCTGGAGTGAAGTGGTGCAATCTCGGCTCACTGCAACCTCCGCCTCCCAGTTCAAGCGATTCCCCTGTCTCAGCATCCCAAGTAGCTGGGACTACAGGCACGTGCCACCATGCCCGGCTAATTTTTTGTATTTTTAGTAGAGATGGGGTTTCACCATGTTGGCCAGGACGGTCTAAATCTCCTGATCTCATGATCCACCTGCCTTGGCCTCCCAAAGTGCTGAGATTACAGGCGTGAGTCACTGCACCCAGCCAACCACCTTCTTAAGAAGACCTCTGGCTTTTCTGGAACACAGGTAAACACCTTGGCTTGGGATCAAGATCCTCTCTACCCAGGCGAGGGCTAGGCTGGCCAGCACAACTGTGTTTGGGCCAGAGCAGCAGGGTCCTGCACGCTGCAGGGAGCAATCACAGGTGGGAGGAGCCCACAGCCTGGGATCAGAGGTGCCAGGAGCTTGGGAACAGGAGCCCTGGGGTCCAGCTTTCCTGCTGTGTCTCCAGGCCTTGAGTCCTTCCCCTGAAAAATGACATCATCATGCCCACCTCAGGGCCTGTTGAGTTAAATCATCCAGTAGACTTGAAGCAGCTAGCACTTGTAACCGTTGAGGTCAGCAAATATGAGTTCCCTTCCTCTCTGGCACTCTGTTGGCAGGGGAGCCCACTATCCATCAGCCAGCCCTGGAAAATGTATAGTCACACATGCAGAGAAGATGGGGGGCTATGCTCCTCATCTTCCAGGTTTTGCAGGAGTAGGTGTGGGGATCCAGAAGATAGCTCGGGAGTCAGCAGGTGACAGCTATTGAGCATCCTCCACTCACTCCTGTCCCCACAACGAGGGGAAGGAGCTGAGGTGGGATCTGCTCTGAAGTTAGACCCTGGCTTCTCTCAGTGGTGACCTGGACAGGGGAGGGGAAGGAGAGGGAGCAAAGGATGCAGGAGCAAGGAGGGAACTTCTAGGCCCCTCCCTTCCAGAGTCCCCCAACCTTGAGATCATCACAGAAGCAACAGCTGCAAAGAGAAGAGCACTTTGGCACCTTGGAATTCGGGAGGCAGCTCCGTGTTCCTTCCACCCTGTGAGACATGCATGGCTTTTTTTTTTTTTTTTTTTTTTTTTTGAGGCAGTCTCCCTCTGTTGCCCAGGCTGAAGTGCAGTGGCCTGATCTGAGCTCACTGCAGCCTCCACCTCATGGGTTCAAACGATTCTCCCGAGTAGCTGGGACTACAGGCGGGCCCCACCACGCCCAGCTAATTTTTGTATTTTGAGTAGAGACGGGGTTTCACCATATTGGCCGTGTTGGTCTGGAACTCCTGACCTCATGATCTGCCCACCTTGGCCTCCCAAAGTGCTGGGATTACAGGCATGAGCCACCGCACCCAGCCAGTATACGTGACATTCTTAAGGTCCACTAAAGGCTCAGGTGTGGTTGGAGACCAGAGGATGGCCTTTGAGATACTGGGATTGGAAGGGTAGGTGGCCTGTGGGTGTCTCCTCTGGGGGAAGCCTCCCCAGGTGGAAGGGGTTCTTGCTCTCCAGAGGTAGCTTAGCACAGTGACATTAACAGTGACAGGGGCATGTGTGTAAGAAACGCTTCCCCAGGCTCTCTTTTCATAGGTGTTTGCAGCAGCATCCATCACAGCATCTCTTAAGAGGTTAAATGTTGCAAATCCCATTCTACAGAGGTGGAAATCGAGCCTCAGAGAAGTTACGTCACTTGCCCCTGATCCCATAGCTCCCCAGTGACAGTGCTAGGACTCCGAGCCAGCTCTCTCACCATCCAGCGGGAGACCCCGCCAGTTTCCAGCCATTTGGAGAAATGCCCTACTCAGACTCACTCAACCTCAGCAAGCCTGGTGGTGCTCTGACATCCACCCAACCCCCATCAAGCCCTTTAGCTCCACAACCCAAAAGGGTCTCTCTATGAGGTATCTTGAAGCAAAAGACAGGCAGGACAACTCTGCTTCCACCCTGGGGAGATTTCTATGTACGGGGCTGTCTCTCTGTTTGGGGCTCTGATCTCTCCTTCCTGCCTTGCTGCCTGTCGAAGCATTTCCCATGGAGTTGTGATCAGCATTGCAACACTCCCAGCAGTCCTGGGCGATGGTGAGTCCCCTCAGCTGGCTGGGACAGTACTCTGCTGTCACCTCTCTGTTCTCTGGCTCCATCCCAGCTCCCCCTCAACTGGTCTCCTTGCCAACCCTCAGGGATCCAGGACACCCTCTCTCTGGAGTCCATGCTGCCTTCAGCACTTCACTCCCCACCAGTGATGGCAACACTTGGTGTTCTTTGTCCACTTTATTTACTTGCTTATTTTTAATAACAAAAGTTTTCTACTGGCGGGGCGTGGTGGCTCACGCCTATAATCCCAGCACTTTGGGAAGCCAAGGCGGGCGGATTACCTGAGGTCAAGAGTTCAAGACCAGCCTGACCAACATGGAGAAACCCTGTCTCTGCTAAAAATGCAAAATTAGCTGGGCTTGGTGGCGCATGCCTGTAATCCCAGCTACTCTTGAGACTGAGGCAGGAGAAACGCTTGAACCCAGGAGGCGGAGGTTGCAGTGAGCCAAGAGATGCCGCTGCACTCCAGCCTAATCGACAGAGCGAGACCCTGTCTCAAAACAAAAGAAAGAAAGACAGGGCTGGGCATGGTGGCTCATGCCTGTAATCCAAGCACTTTGGAAGCCAAGGCGGGCGGATAACCTGAGGTCAGGAGTTCAAGACCAGCCTGACCAACATGGTGAAACCCCGTCTTAAAAAAAAAAAAAAAAAAGAAAAAAGAAAGATAATATTTACCTATCTCTACAGATAGCTAGCCTGTAGATATGTAAGTAGGTGGGTGGGTAGGTAGACAGTTCCATGGATATCCCATAGTCTTCTGCAGCTGGACTTCTGCTCTGAGCACAGACTATAGTCTGGCATGTCTTGACTCCATATTCCTGGGAAAGCCCTCAACTGAGACCATAGGGGTCTTGGGAGGTGCAATGGGTAGGGTAGTTGAATTTGAGGGCTGTTCCCTGAGGGCAGTGGGCAGTAATTGGGGCATGGGATGGGCATGAGGGCCCTGGTCCCTAAACATTGCTCACTCCATTCCAAGGCCCCCAGCTGCCGGCATGCGACTGCCTCGCTTCTCCAACAAGACAGCAACCACGCTCCTCCTGGCACAGACTATCTGCCTCCTGCTCTTTGTTGTCTACCAGCCAGGGCCCTCTTCCCCCACGGAGACAGGCCGTGAGCGTGTGCACGTGCTGGTGCTGTCCTCATGGCGCTCGGGCTCGTCCTTCGTGGGCCAGCTCTTCAGCCAGCACCCCGATGTCTTCTACCTGATGGAGCCCGCGTGGCACGTGTGGACTACACTGAGGCAGAGCAGCGCCAAAACGCTGCACATGGCCGTGCGCGACCTGGTGCGTTCCGTCTTTTTGTGTGACATGGATGTGTTTGATGCCTACATGCCACAGAGTCGAAACCTGTCCGCCTTTTTCAAGTGGGAGGTGAGCCGCGCGCTGTGCTCACCACCGGCCTGCAGCGCCTTTCCCCGAGGTGCCATCAGCAAGGAGAATGCATGCAGGACTCTGTGCACACGGCAGCCCTTCAGCCTGGCCCAGGAGGCCTGTCGTTCCTACAGCCACGTGGTGCTCAAGGAGGTGCGTTTCTTCAACCTGCAGGTGCTCTACCCGCTGCTCAGGGACCCTGCGCTCAACCTGCGCATCGTGCACCTGGTGCGCGACCCACGGGCCGTGCTGCGCTCCCGGGAGGCGGCGGCCCAGCTACTAGCACTTGACAACGGCATTGTGCTGGGCACACACGGCAAGTGGGTGGAGGCCGACCCTCACCTGCACCTGATGCGGGAGGTGTGCCGCAGCCATGTGCATATCGCCGAGGCCGCCACAGTCAAGCCGCCACCCTTCCTGCGCGGCCGCTACCGCCTGGTGCGCTTCGAGGACCTGGCACGGGAGCCGCTGGCAGAGATCCGGGCACTCTACGCCTTCACCGGCCTGAGCCTCACGCCACAGCTCAAGACCTGGATCCACAACATCACCCACGGGTCAGGGGTCGGCAAGGCATTCGAGGCTTTCCGGACTTCGTCTAGGAATGCGCGCAACGTCTCCCAGGCCTGGCGCCAAGCGCTGCCCTTCACCAAGATCCGCCACGTGCAGAAGGTGTGCGCCAGTGCACTGCAGCTGCTGGGCTACCGGCCTGTCTACTCTGAGGACGAGCAGCACAACCTCACCATGGATCTGGTGCTGCCACGAGGCCCAAAACACTTCAGCTGGGCATCCTCTGACTCTGAGAACTCTGGACCCTAGAGCAGGCCCCGAATTGTGGTCACCAGGCCCAGGAGGCGACTGCATGGTGGAGAGGGAGCTGGGGCGCACAGGGAAGCAGGTCCTTACTGTTAACCGGGAGTTTGGAGTCCCCCCCTGAAATAGGCAAGGACTGCACGTTTGGTTCTCTCCTGATTCTCGGTTCTCCATTGAGTCCTCTGTAGCTGCCTTCTCATCAGGTACTCTCTTCATGGAAAGCAACTGTTGCCCCTACCTCTCTGGGAACAGGGAGTAAGTTCTGCTACATTAAATTAAATATGTTCCAGACCACATGTGGTGGCTTACACCTATAAGCTCAGCACTTTGAGAGGCTGAGGCAGGTGGATCACATGAGGTCAGGAGTTCGATACCAGCCTGGCTGACATAGTGAAATACCTTCTCTACTAAAAATATAAATATTAGCGGGATGTGGTAGCACACACCTGTAATCCCAGCTACGTGGGAGACTGAGGTGGGAGAATCACGTGAACCCGGGAGGTAGTGGTTGCAGTGAGCTGAGATATCACCACCACACTCCAGCCTGGGTGACAGACTGAGGCTCCATTAAAAAGAAAATTTACATTTGCTCAAAGATCCTGTAATCTGGTGAACTGTAACCTCATTTTTTTCTCTTATTATTTTTTTATTGTGTGATTCCATTTATTTAAAGCTGAAAAAACAGAAAAACTAGTCTATGGTGGTAGAGGTCAGAATAGGGGATACTTTGGCCATGTGCAGTGGCTCATGCCTGTAATCCCAGCACTTTGGGAGGCCAAGGCAGGTGAATTGCGTGAGATCAGGAGTTCGAGACCAGCCTGGCGAACATGGTGAAACCCTGTCTCTAACTAAAAATACAAAAAATTAGCCAGGCACTGTGGCGTGTGCCGGTAATCCTATCTACTCCAGAGGCTGAGGCAGTAGAATCGCTTGAACCCAGGAGGCAGAGGTTGTAGTGAGCCAAGATCGTGCCAGTGCATTCCAGCCTGGGTGACAGAGCAAGACTCTGTCTAAAAGAAAAAAAAAAGGGTGGGGGATACTTTGTAGGGAGGATTTGACTGGGATGTAACCTCCTTTAATATGTAAACAATCTACAATCTGATGTGAGATTATATTCTTGTAAGAAGAATGGAGTCTCTTCAAATCATAGCAGCCAGCTTTCAGCCAGGGACAGATGTCACACTGACCAGATGTGTCCAAAGAAGACAAAGGCTGAGCTGTAACCAATCAGGCTATATCCAGTGCCACTTCCTTTTCTGTTTATGACACTGCTTGTCCACGGTTGCTTGGTTGCTTGGTGGAGGTCTCTGTAACCTCTGTAATGTAGATCTCTCATTTAATGGGGTGAGTTTACATCAAGCTGTTTTGTAGTGAACACCAGCCCTTAATCACCATCATCCCTCGAACAAAGACTGACCAGTTGTACTCAAATGCTGCTGAGCTATCTTTATTGCATGGACTTTGAGTTGTTTATTTGACCAGTTTGTGGAAACGCCTAATAATGAGTGCACTTCTGTTTCTTGGCATTATCACCTTATAGCCATTATATGATAGTCTCCCTGACTGGGCACAGTGGCCCATGCCTGTAATCCCAGCACTTTGGGAGGCTGAGGCAGGCAGATCACTTGAGGTTAGGAGTTTGAGACCAGCCTGGCCAACATGGTGAAACCCTGTCTTTACTAAAAATACAAAAACTAGCCGAGTGTAATGTTGCATGCCTGTAATCCCAGCTACTCAGGAGGTTGAGGCAGAAGAATCACTTGAACCCAGGAGCTGGAGGGTGCAGTGAGCCAAGATTGCACCACTGTACTCCAGCCTGGGTGACAAAGCCAGACTTTATCTTAAATAGTAATAATAATAGGCCAGGCACCGTGGCTGAAGCCTGTGATCTCAGCACTTTGGGAAGCCATGGCAGGTGGATCAGTTGAGGTCAGGAATTCAAGACCAGCCTAGCCAACGTGGTGAAACCCTGTCTCTACTAAAATACAAAAGTTAGCCAGGCATGGTGGCAGACTTCTGTAATCCCAGCTACACAGGAGGCTGAAGCAGGAGAATGGCTTGAACCCAGTAAGTGGAGGTTGGGAGGTTGCAGTGAAATGAGATCATGCCACTGCACTCTAGCCTGGGCAATACTTTTTTAATAATAATAATAATCTCTCTGCTTCATTGCTTCCCCTGGGAAGTCTTACATGTTCCTATGCAGCCATTCTTTATTTTTATTTATTTATTTTTTTTTTTTGAGACTGAGTTTCGCTCTTGTTACCCAGGCTGGAGTGCAATGGCACGATCTCGGCTCACCACAACCTCCGCCTCCTGGGTTCAGGCAATTCTCCTGCCTCAGCCTCCTGAGTAGCTGGGATTACAGGCATGCACCACCGTGCCCAGCTAATTTTTTGTATTTTTAGTAGAGACGGGGTTTCACCATGTTGACCAGGACAGTCTCGATCTCTTGACCTCGTGATCCACCCGCCTCGGCCTCCCAAAGTGCTGGGATTACAGGCTTGAGCCACCGCGCCTGGCCCTATGCAGCCATTCTTAATACATCAACTGGTCTATTAGAATAACAAAAACATGGCCGGGGCAGTGGCTCATGCCTGTAATCCCAGCACTGCAGGAGGTTGAGGCAGATGAATCACAAGGCCAGGAGTTCAAAACCCAGTCTCTACTAAAAATACAAAAATTGGGCTGGTGTGGTGATGCATGCCTGTAATCCCAGCTACTCAGGAGGCTGAGGCAGGAGAATCGCCTGAACCCAGGAGGCGGAGGTTGCAGTGAGCTGAGATCTCACCACTCACCTGACAGAGCGAGACTCTGTCTCAAAAAAAAGAACAAAGACATTAAGAAAGCATAAAGAGACTGGGTGCAGTGGTTCATGCCTGTAATCCCAGCACTTTGGGAAGCCAAGGTGGGAGGATCCCCTGAGGTCGGGAGTTCAAGTCCAGCCTGACCAATATGACAAAACCCAGTCTCTACTACAAATACAAAATTAGCTGGACATGGTGGCACATGCTTGTAATCGCAGCTACTCAGGTGACTGAGGCAGGAGAATCGCTTGAATCCAGGAGGCAGCGGTTGCGGTGAGCCGAGATCGTGCCATTGCACCCACCTGGGAGACAGCAAGACTCTGTCTCAAAAAGAAAAAGAAAACATAAAGAATCATCCAACTAAGATGAAATTGTGAATTGTGAACTCAATACCAAAACAAAACAAGTCCAGTAATGGTGACCAAAAACAGGGTCAGGGTCCAAGGCTTTGGGGTCAACCTCTCAAAACTGAGAGGCTGACCAAAAGGCAGAGATGTTTAAATTCAATTAAATTTGGCCCAAAGCTGCTCCCAATACCTGTTGAACTGCAACCTAACTTAGTATTTACATAAACTGCCTCCCAACTGAGACTATATTCTTGCAACAAATAGCTGAGTCTCAGCAAGTCACAACAGCTGTGCTTTAACCAGTCACATGCTGCCAACTGATCAGACTGTGTCCAGATAAGGCAAATGCTGAGCTGTATCCATCAGACCGTTTCTGTGTGTTACTTGAATACACCTGGGCTGCACAGTTGCTGGGTGGAGCACTCCGAACCTTTACTGGTTCAGGATGCTGCCTGATTCATACATTTTCTTTGCTCAAATAAAGTCTGCTTAATTTAATTCACCTAATGTTTTTCTATTAACAGTCCTGATGACAGGCAGCCGGGCGCGGTGGCTCAAGCCTGTATCCCAGCACTTTGGGAGGCCGAGGCGGGTGGATCACGAGGTCAAGAGATCGAGACCATCCTGGTCAACATGGTGAAACCCCATCTCTACTAAAAATACAAAAAAAATAGCTGGGCATGGTGGCGCGTGCCTGTAATCCCAGCTACTCAGGAGGCTGAGGCAGGAGAATTGCCTGAACCCAGGAGGCGGAGGTTGCGGTGAGCCGAGATCGCGCCATTGCACTCCAGCCTGGGTAACAAGAGCGAAACTCTGTCTCAAAAAAGAAAAAAAAAACACAGTCCTGATGACTTGGCAGCGACCCAACTCCTCCTTTCCCCTCAACTCTCTCCTCTCTTGGAATGCATCCTGCAGCAGCTGAAAGGGGTGCCCCAGGCCTGGCTGGGAGCAAAATCTAGTGATAATGCTTCTGAACATCCCACATGAACCGCACACATACACACACACACGCACACACTCACATGCACATACAACCTGGAATCTGTTCCCCTTATGCCCCTGGCACCACACTCTGTCAAAGCCTTTGACCTTTATATTCTTCTCTGTCTTCAGTGAGAAAGAGGTGGCTCACGCCTATAATCCCAGCACTTTGGGAGGCTGAGGTGGGTGCATCACTTGAGGTGAGGAGTTCAAGACCAGCCTGGCCAAGATGGTGAAAACCTATCTCTACCAAAAATATAAAAAATAAGCTGAGTGTGGTGGTGCCCGCCTGTAATCCCAGCTACTTGAGAGGCTGAAAGGGGAGAATTGCTTGAACCCGGGAGGCAGAGGTTGCAGTGAGCTGAGATCGCATCACTATGCCATCCTGGGTGACAGAGTGAGACTCCATCTCAAAAAAAGAAAAAAAAGAGGTATATTAGCCTTGAAGCTGAAACCCACTGGAGGATGCTTTGAGTTTTAGATGCCTCTTGTCTTGTGGTCTTCTCCTGGACTCTCTCTACTCTACCTCCCAGGAGGCCACATCACCTTGTCCAGATAAGGTAAATCTTTGAAATTTTTTTTTTGAGACAAAGTCTCACTCTGTCGCGCAGGTTGGAGTGCAGTAGTACCATCTCGGCTCACTGCAACCTCCCTATCCTGGGTTCAAGCCGATTCTCCTGCCTCAGCCTCCCGAGTAGCTGGGATTACAGGTGTGTGCCACCACACCTGGCTGATTTTTATATTTTCAGTAGAGATGGGGTTTCACCATGTTGGCCAGGCTGGTCTCAAACTCCTGATCGCAAGTGATTCACCCGCTTTGGTTTCCAAAAGTGCTTGGATTACAGGAGTGAGCCACCGTGCTGGGCCAGACGAACCTTTGATTTGTACTGACATGAAATAGCCCACCTATAGAAATGAATATAATAATTCACCTACCTGTGTGATACAGATTAGAGTTTATAGCCTGCAAGCTTGAAAAGCAAACTCAGA